ATAGAATAGAATAATAATAGAATAATAAGAATAGAATAGAATGGAAGAGAAGAGAAGAGAAAATAGAAAATAGAAGATAGAATAGAATAATAATAGAATAGAATAGAAAATAGAATATAATATAGAAAATAGAATAGAATAGGAGAAAAAAGAGAATAGAATATAGAATATAGAAAATAGAATAGAATAATAAAATAGAATAGAAAATAGAACAGAATATAGAAAATAGAATATAATATAGAAAATAGAATAGAATATAGAAAATAGAATAGAATAATAGAATAATAAGAATATAATAGAAGAGTTGGAAGGGACCTTGGAGGTCTTCTAGTCCAACCCCCTGCTTAGGCAGGAAACCCTAGACCATTTCAGACAAGTGGTTATTCTGGGAGTTGAAGTCCACAAGTCATAAAAGGGCCATATTCCCCCACCCTTGGTCTAATGAGGACAAAAAAAATATTAAATAAATCTCTTTCCTCGTGTGCCAAAAACCGGTCTAAACCTGACAGATTTGGAGGCCAGTCTGAAACTCTCCCCATGTTGCAGATGGGAAGACTGAGGCTGAGGCAGGCGGGGGGGCTGATCCCTCTTCAAGGAAAGCTCCCTGGGAACCCCCTAACCTTTTTTTGGGGGGGGGGGGTTTCTCCCCAGGCATCACCGTGCTGCTGTCACTCACCGTCTTCATGTTGCTGGTGGCCGAAGTGATGCCAGCCACCTCCGACTCGGTGCCACTGATAGGTGAGGAGAAGGGGAATTTAATTGCAACCAGAGCACCTGCCCCCCGCCCCGCTGTCTTCCTCCGTCTCCAAAACTCGGGGGGTGCAACTGCGTCACCTCCGATTTTCTATATTTGCAAGGGACGAACGGTCAGTAACGGTCTTGACCAGTGGTGGGATTCAAAAATTTTTTTTTTACTACCGGTTCTGTGAGTGTGGCTTGATGGGCATGGCTTGGTGGGCGTGGCAGGGGAAGGATACTGCAAAATCCCCATTTCCCTCCCCGCCCCACTAACCTGCTTTCCAGCTCTGTTCTCCCGTGCAGGGCAACACAAGAAGACCCAGACAATCAGCTTGGACTTGGGAGGCGGAGAATAGATGAGGGCGGGGCTAGTCAGAGGTGGTACTTGTTGATTCTCCGAACTACTTAAGATTTTGACAACCAGTTCTCTAGAACCGGTGTGAACCGGCTGAATCCCACCTCTGGTCTCGACGGGCACAGTCCAAATCTGGCATGAAGGAAGAAGATGGTTGGGCTGTTGAGGTTTTGCTGGAAGGGTCTTCTTTCCCTGCTTTTCTTGGGGGTGCTGGTTTGTGGGTTTTTTTTTGGGGGGGGGGTCAATCGAAGGCTTAAAAGCCCAAGTGAGATCACACCGGGATTTCTCCAATCTGCTTCCCTCTGCAGGGCAGTATTTTGCCAGCACCATGGGTATGGTAGGTCTCTCTGTGATGACCACCGTTTTCGTCCTCCAGTACCATCACCACGATCCCGAGGGAGGATCCATGCCAAGATGGGTGAGTGCCACCTCCCATTTTAGACTTGGGGATGTGTGTGCGTGAAACTTATCCCTGCTCTTTTCCCATCAACTGCGTGTGTGTGTGGGAGCTCCTTGCAAACCTTTCGGGACTGAAAATATGGAATTTCCGTAACTTTCTGCCAAACTTTCTGTCTCCCGCCGGAGTACCCCTTTGTGAATCTCACCCCTTGGCTGGCGTAATATGGCACCTTTGAAGCTGGCGGAGATGCACTTTCATCAACTTGAATTGCAGCGTCCTTCTCTTGGCTAGCTCTTCTGTTTTTCTAATTCTTTGTGTGTGTGTGTGTGTGTGTTTTTAAAAAAGAGTACATTCGTATTCTTACATACGTGAATGGGGGCTTCCATCATAACATGGCACAACCTAGAGCTGCGTTTCACAATGCTGGTCACTTTAAGAGCGGTGGACTTCATCTCCCAGAATCCCCCTGCCAGCATGCCTTAGAGGAGTGGACTTCAAGTCCCAGAATTCAGCATGCTTTATGACATGCTGGCTGGGGAATTCTGGGAATTGAAATCCATAAATCTCCCCTTCTCCTTTGGTCCTTTCAGTGGTCCGGACTCCAAGCCAGACGGGGGGTCCCTTTCTCTCAACCAGCGCTTTCTTCCATGCAGGTCCAGGTGCTGGTGCTGAACTGGGGCGCCTGGCTCTTGAGGATGCGCCAACCAGGAGAAGAACCCGGGAGAAGCCCCCCCTGTGCCCCCAGTTTGCTGAGCTGCAGCTCGGACAACAGTGATGGAGAAGGCAGCCCACCGACCCATCCAGCTGGGCCCATCGCCAATGGACACTTGGTCTATGCGGGGATCCCCATTGCTGCCGTCGCGCCTGCCCCCTTCCCCACCAAACCCCCGGACATACCCCGTCCCTTCCTCTTCTCCCCGGAACCTCCCTCCTCCGTCCCAGAGGACCCTCTTTCCGCCCTCCACTTGAGCTCCATCCTGAAGGAGCTGAGATACGTGGCCCAACGCTTCCGCAGCCAAGACGTCGCGCGAGCCACCTGCAATCAGTGGAGGTTTGCCGGGGCCATCATTGACCGACTCTGCCTGGTGCTCTTCGCCCTCTTCCACATCGTCTGCTCCATCGCCATCCTGATGGCAGCCCCCAACTTCGCCGAGGCCATCACCAAGGACTTCCTCTGAGGCGCCGGGGTGCCACGTCTTCTGAGGGCCTCCTTGAGATGGGGAGAAGGGCCTCCCCTGGATGGAGAAAGACGGGGCTGGCCAGAGACCTTCCTCCTCGTGCATGCCACAACGACCCGGATTTTGTGACCGGCACCAAGGTTTGCATGCAGTAGTTAGGTAGCTCCTCTTGAGACGGAGGTCCTCATTGACCAGGGAGGACAATGGGGTGTTGTCGTTTTGGACTAGTTCTCCTCCAGATCCCTCAAAACCTCAGTCCTCTTCATCTTCAACCCTCAGGGGCCATGTTGGATGTTCAGACTTCAGAAGGCTTGGAGGAGGAAGTTCTGGTGGGCCACCAGAATGTTCAGACTTTGGAGGGCTTGGCCTCCAGCTGGACCACGAGGCGAGGGGGGCTTACAAAACCCTACCCAAGAGGGAGATGAATTTGGGGGCGCATTCCCCCAAAGCCCCCATCCTCTCTCTCGTGAACTCCTAGAGACCCTGTCTTGACTCTGAAGACCCCCCTCCCAAAAAATGGATCTCTTCTCAGTTCCCTCTGGCAGGGGAACGATTCCGGGACCGAACTCCAATCAAAGTTGCTGAAAATTCATTGGAAAAAAAGGGGTCTTTTTCTCACCCCCCCCCCCAAATTCTGTCCCATTTCAAATGTTTTAATGCTCCAATCCACCTCGGTTTTCACTGTGACGTGGCCCTCAACTTACGAGAATCCATTTAGCGACCGAAGTTACACCATCACTGAAAATAAGTGACTTAGGATAGGCCCTTGTCCTTACGACCATTGCATCTCCTTGGTCACCTGATCAAAAGTTATGGTCCCTGGGGAATCACGTGATCGCCGTTCCAGAGCTTCCCCAGCCGACGTATGACAAGCCAAGGCAGTGGGGGAAACCGGAGTCACTTAATGACCACACAGTGGCTAAGAATATATATGTGTGTGTGTGTGTGTGTGTGTGTGTGTGTAAATAACAACAAAAGATAAGCCTCCTTTGACCAACATGACTGAAGATGTCTCTTTTACACACACACACACACACACACACACACACATATATTCTTAGCATATCCTCAGCATATCACTCTTACGAGCCAAAGTGTGTCATTTCATTCTAGTTTTTTGCTTATTTTATTGAAACGAAGAGAAAAATAAATTATTCAAAGTAAACAGCAATAAATAATCAATAATTTAAGCCTTGATATTGTCTGAAAATCACCGTTCACCCCCCCTTCCCCCCCCCACTTCTTTGAACCCCTTCTTCCCTTGGTCCTTCTAAACAAAATCACTATTAAACCCACTACCCAGCCCCCCCCCAAAGTGAAATAATTGAAGGAAGGAAGAGGAGGGGAAAAGAACAGGGAGACCCAACAAAAGAGAGACAGAGAGACAGAGAGACAGAGACAGAGAGAGAGAGAGAGAGAGAGAGAGAGAGAGAGAGAGAGAGAGAGAAAGAAAGAAA